TTTTTCATTAAAATCTTCGATTTGGCGGTTGTTTGATACTTGGATATTCATTGGATGCCTTTGATTGTTGATTTGGAGATGTTAGGGTGAATTTGTGATAAAAAATCGTGGGTTTCAGAGGTTGTAAAGAAATCGAGCAGTACTTCACAGAGTCGGTAAATGTTTTTTCCTTCTTGTACAATATTACTATTATACATATTTTTGGGGCAATGTCTTCTTCCCAATCTTCTAGTAATAAGGATCGGGCTTAGAAATATGCTAAACTAAAAAATCCCAAAGATAGAAATTGTGTGATATGCTTGCTTTGTGGAAATACTTATATGGGTGGATAACTGGATATAGAATCTCTGACAGCTAATAGTTTTCAAGTTAATCATTAAACTAAAATGCCTACTATCACATATATCACCTTCATATTTTTTTTCTATGCATTAACTTATTTTGTAAAAATTTTTAGAATTTTTTTACATTTATTGACCACATCATCATGATGCACCCGCATCCGGGCCGCATCGAGCCTCATCGCGCCCCCCCACCGCATTAGGGCCGCATCCCGCATTTTAAAACACTGCTCCACAAAGCCATCAACGCCACTTTCATAGCCTTAGTCCCCAAGGTTGAAGGGGCAGAGGAACTAAAGGACTTTCGTCCAATTAGCCTGGTCAATTCCTCTTACAAAATTCTGGCCAAGGTTCTGGCCTCAAGGCTACAACAAGTCCTTCCTTTAATCATCTCACTGTCACAGACAACTTTCATCAAAGATAGGCAAATCTTAGATGGAGCTTTAGTAGCACATGAGTGCCTTCACTCAAGGCACATGTCCAAGAAGCCTAGTCTTATCTTCAAGATAGAGTGGAAAACAACGTACAACCATGTTGACTGGACGAGTCAATGGCTAGAATGGGATTCCGGGACCTTTAGAGAAAGTGGATGAGAGGTTGCTACTCTCATCCTTACTTCTCGATTCTCATCAATGGAACCCCAAAAGGTTTCTTCCCATCCTAGATGGGGCTACGCCAAGGGGATCCACCCTCTCCTTTCTTGTTCACCATTATAGCAGAAGTCTTCAGCCGTTCAATCTCCCGTTTGTACCAGGAATGTCTCCTCACTGGATTCAAGAGCAATCCCCAAGGCCCAACAGTGTCTCATCTGCAATATGCGGATGACACTTTAGTGTTCCCTGAAATCAGAGTGCTTATCCCAAATTGGGAATGCAAAGTGGAGGAACTTCCCACAACATACCTTGGTCTACCCTTGGGATTGGGGAAACCAAAAAAGAGACAGTGGTCCCATGTGATAGACAAGGTTGACAGGCGTCTAGTAGGGCGGAATGGGAGATACCTCTCTATGGCTAGTCGTAGTACCTTGATAAAAGCAACCTTGGCAAATGCTTCGGTCTACCTCATGTCTCTTTTCCACATGCCAACCTCGGTGGCCAACCTCCTTGACCAGCTTATGAGGAATTTCAACTGGTCAGGATAGGCCGAGAGAACCAAATACCACCTAATACCGTGGGACAAGATATGCGTACCCAAACAGTAGGGAGGGCTAATGATTAGGACGCTTAGAAAACATAACCTGGTCCTTCTAGGTAAATGGTGGTGGCGCTAAGCCACTCAGACAGACTCCCTCTGGGCTCAGGTCGTACACAACAAATATAGGATTTTGGAAGGAGTTGGGTGCCTGAGAGGAGGCAGCAGAGTAGAGCTTCAGAAGCGTGGAAGTTGTTCGCCTCCTCCCTCTCACAGTTCAAAAAATTCATCAGATTCTATCCAAGAGAAGGAACAAGAGTGCACTTCTGGTCAGATCTCTGGCTAGGACACACTCCCCTAAGGGACCTTTTTCCCTCCCTTTACTCTCTTGCTTCAAACAAAGACTCTACCATCGCAGAGGAAATGGTACTGTCAGGAGGTCGAAGAGTTTGGAACCCCTCGTTCAGAAGAAATCTCTCAGACGAGGAAACCAGCCACTTCCTGTCACTCTCGGTAGCTTTACATTCCATCTTCATCTCTACATGAGGGAGGGACTCCATGGTATGGACTCTAGCCCCCTTTGGTACTTTCTCGGTGGCCTCGTTTTACAAAAGACTCATCCAACGCCCCACCTTTCCTCTTAATCCTACCTCTGTCCTTTCTAAGGTCTGGTACACAATTGCCCCTTTCAAAGTTCAGACTTTCAACTGGATTGCTTGTTCTCAACGGGCACTCACAGTGGACCAGCTTCAAAAGAGAGGGATTCCAATCCCCAACAGATGTGCCATGTGTTGGAGCGAGGAGGGAATTGACACCTCGTCATCTATTGCATGCTAGCTCACAACCTTTGGAGTCAATTATTGCAGCTATTTGGTTTCCAATGGGTTACTCCACTGACAGTCAAGGCCCTAATTTCCTCGGAATATGCGTCACATTGGTCGAAAGCCGGAAAAACTTTATGGAAGACCGCCATCGTCGCTTCCATGTGGGTGATCTGGGTAGAAATGAATACCAGAATATTCCAAGGTCACAAACTCCAAGTACCAACACTTTTCCACAAGGTTACTTCGCTAGCAACATTCTGGGCATCCAACCACAGGGTTTTCTTGGGCATTTCAGCGAACACCTATCTCAGCCAATGGGAAAACATACTCTACCACCAACCACGAAAGGTGCAATGACCAAACAATTGGCTGCCACCTCCAAAGGGCACCATCAAGCTCAACTTTGATGGTTGCTCTCTGGGGAACCCCGGCCCTGCAGGAGCCGGAGGTGTCTTTAGAGACAATCATCGCAATATTCTCTTCACCTATTCTGAGCCTCTAGGCCATAAAGACTCTCAATATGCTAAAGCCATGGCCCTGTTGTTGCGTCTCAAAAGCTTCAACCATTCCTGGGGACCACTCCTGTTAATGGAAGGAGACGCACACAATATTATCTCCTGGGCAATCAGGACGACACCACCTCCACGGTACCTAGCTTCGATTTTTGATGAAATTTCTTACATTTGTAGGGATATGGTCATCTCATGGAAGCACATCTGGAGGACGTCCAACTAGTTCGCCTATCTTCTGGCGAAAGATGGGGCTAGGACCCAAGAAGAAGACCACGCTTGGCCCATCTCCTTTTTTGCTCTAGATCACAGAGGGCACACAACGTAGAACATCTCATTGTAATCAGGCAATTCTATAAGTTTTTTGTGAACCTATTGTAAATCCTTTGTAATCGGGCAGGTATATAAGCCCATTTTTTGTATAAGGTCTGCTAACCTATTATTTAACGAGAGACCCGCCTAGAGGGCTCTTTCGGACTGCCACATATCTATAATCTAACTTCTCTTAGCAATACAAAAGTTAACTTTACTCAAAAAGAGAAAGTAGTTCGAAAAGGTATGGAGACTTATGGCCTTACTGAGGATATGGCTTTTAATAGAGCAGAATGGAGAACTAGGGTTCATGTAGCCGACCTCTATTAATTGAGAAAGGGCTAAAATGATGATGATGATGATGAAATTCTCCTAGATAAATTATGTCTTCCTAGGTTTATCTGTTGAACCTAAATTATTAGTGTTTACACCTTGTATGGCAGAATTATATATAACAGCAGATTCTATCAATCACCGAATAAAAATCATTTCGATCGATGCATTAAGTCGATGAGTTTTATAACAAACTCGGAATGTGTCTGAATTTTCTACTAAATATGAGTTTCTTTGTTGATTTGACAAATAGATGGTCTCTTGTAATGTGGTAGCATTGCAGTGTAACTTAAGAAATTGAAAAACTCAGCAAGTTTTCCTGAGTGACTCAGCTAGTCAACTCGGTTTTGTCAGTGACTGACCCCGACCCCAGAGTTCTAGTTTATTAGCACGCTATAAGTTAAATTAGACCTTAGAATGGGCTTGAGATCTACTTGTTGATTTTTCAGCTTAGGATGGAAGCATTTCTCAATAACAGCAAATACCATAAAATTGAATTGGAACTTGCTGGAGACCTACTTCTTGAGTCTTTTTGGCATCGATGTCTTGTCTGTTGTAGGTTTCCATTATATTCATGGATTGCCTAATGAAGTTCACTAAATACCATTGTCTGAAAATGTGGCCACATAATGCGCTATGCCCCTCGAAGCACATCGCATATGGGCACATATGCGCTTTGGTGGGATGTGCTTGCATATTCGCCGCATCCCACTGCATATGTGGCCGCATAGCACATATGCACCGAATAGCTCGTGGACGAAAGTAGTGCCCATGTACCCCCCACCCCCCCTCCCCCCCAAACACCACAAACAGCCACATTCATCAAACGAAGAGAAGGCGGAAATTGTTTTTGCTAAAAATTGTAGATTTGCTTTGTTGGTTGGGTTGTTGCTTGGACGTTGTTTTAAAGAAGTTTGAGCATAGATTCATCAACTTATCTAGGTTTCAAGGGCCGAGTTTCCAATTGCGATTATAGTTTTTGGATGTTTATATATTATGACAATATGATGTCTTCTATAAAGTTACTTTCAAGTTTCTAGTTTCTAGTTTCTACTTTCTAATGTCTTCTAACAGGGGATTCAAAGTCTCTGATAACTGATAATATTGGAGTTAATGAATAAATTAAATACCTACTATCACATAAATCACCTCCATAGCTTTTTCATGCTCTAACCTTTCTTTTTGAAATTTTTTGAATTTTTTTATATTTATTGATCACATTGGGTTGATGCTTTTGCATTTGGACCGCATCGAGCCACATTGCCGCATCGGCCCCCCGAATGCATTGGGACTGCATCCCGCACTTTAGAACATTGCCAAAAACGATTTCCTATATTGAAATTTCTAATGTGACAATATTTGCAATTGCTTATGCATATGATGCTAGGTTGCGGTTATGGTAGTCTACAACATTTCTGTTTTAGTTTACGAGGAGAAACGATCTCACTACTTTATAGTTTTATTGTTTATAAATAAGTTTTATTGATAATAAACAAATGTGGACTTACATCATTTGTTTTCCTATTTCTTATGATTGATTTTTCGTCCAGTTTAGCAGAAGCACTCGATATGCCCCCTCCAGTGATGCCAGAAGACGTTCACACAACTAGAGTTAGTACTGGAGAAGAAGTAACATCACCCGCTGCTGGAAGAGATTCTTCTGTTATGGAACCTATATGGGATGATGAGGACACAAAGGCATTTTATGAGTGCTTGCCAGATCTCAGGTTTGGTGGGCATTAAGCTAGTCTTAGCTAAAACTTCTAGCAATTGCTTATGAACATGGTAGAAATTGATGATTGCAAGGGCTTTCTGTAATGTATTTTCTTTTAACATTTTAATTGAATTCTTGGTGTTTATTTTGTCCAGAGCATTTGTTCCTGCTGTACTATTGGGAGAAGCAGAACCAAGGACCACTGAGCAATCTGCTAAGGCATCAGAGCAGCAGACTGTAAGGAGATAGTATGCTAATGGTTTCTTATTTATTTATATTTAATCTTGTCCAAACTGGACTATCGAAAGGCTTGCTGTGTTTGGAACAGTGATATCATATATTTACATCAACAATAGCTCCTATCCATCGTATATCATACCTTTATGGGTACCTTTGTTATCTCGTCATTTCTTGGCTTGAAAGATGCAAAAACTTAAAAAATTTGTTTACCTTTTGTAACGTGTACTTGGAGATGCCAAGGGAGAGCAATGGTGAAATCATATAGACTTTATATCTGTGGTATAAAATACTGCCTCTTCCTGTCAAAGATGGGTACTGGTCCTGGCATGGTTACTTCCAAATAATATATGATCCAGTGGTGAAGGCCACAATGAATATCATCAATTTCGAGTCCTTGATTATGTTGGGAGCCCTAGCACCTTTAAGGCCACAATGAATATCATCAATTTCGAGTCCTTGATTATGTTAGGAGCCCTACCACCTTTAAATTTCGTTCTTTCCAGCTCTTGTTGAATTAGAGAATCCGTGATATCTTCTTCAATCACCAGACAGGCGGTCCTATACCTGAAAACTCTATTGTTGCTCTCTCTCTAAATGCCCTTGATATTGCCAATAAGTTGTATCTCCCTTGATGGTTCATTATAGGCGGGAGAGGGATTGATGGCCAACTGGTCAACTGTGTACCGCTATACTTGAGCATTACCTAGTTTTATGCACAACAATATAACTTTTAGGTCCACTGGATCTGCCTCAGACCCCCCTTATCTCTCCCCCTACTCAGTTGACCTCTTCCCTTATTTCCCCTTTTCCCTCTCCTTACCCCCCACTCCTCTCTTCCATCTCCCTTAACCCTACTCCCATCTGCTTGTTACCTCTCTCACTCTCGCTGCCCCCCTTTTCCCTAGCCTTCTCTCCACCCCCACCCCCCCCGTGGGGCCAGTTCTGCATCATCTCCTTGGCCAAGCCTACAGCCTATCGCTAATCCATAATCTCTTCAGTCCCACTCTCCTTTCGGACCATCGACCTCTGGAAGCCCCTCGGACTCTGCTACCTCAGTCGATTCTACTTTGGTAGACGCACTGGATCATGCCCAAGGTGACCATCATGAAGTGGTTAGGGTTATGGGGTTCAAATTTAATGGTCCGAGGAAGGCTTCAGATGATTTCATCAAGGCTGATCACAAATCTCTGCCCAACATGAAGTTTTTGAAGAGAGAGGTGTCCAATCTCCTTTCCCTCAATGTTAACTAGAATTCTAGACAGCTAGCAGCTCCTCCTTTGTCTTCGCTGGAAGTTGTGGACCCCTCGACCAAGTCTGATAGTAGTCGCCAGCCAAGGCGTAAGGACCGATTTTCTCTCTCCAGATGAATATTATAATGTGGAACATTCGCGACTTGGACCATCTACAAAAATGAAGGCAGTCCGGGATTTGTGTACCAAGTACTCTCCTTCTCTCCTTGCCCTGATTGAGACTAAATTGCCAGCTCTAGAACTCTCGGCCATTCGAAGTATTTGGGGGGTTCAGACCCTGTCAATGATTAGCCCTTGAAGCAGTTGGACCTTCAGGGGAATTTGGGTGCTTTGGGATCCCACCCTTCATACCTTACGTGACTCCTCTACTGGCAATTTCTTTGTCATTGTGTTCCTGTTGTGATTATCTGATGGAAAGCAGTGGAAGTTCTCAACGGTGTATTGCCCTAATAGTGATGGTTTGAGGCCAGCATTTTGGGTATAACTGCAAATTATTGCAATTAAAAGCCTTGCAACTTGGTGTTTGGGCGGGGATTTTAACATTACCCGCTGATCTCACGATCGCAACTCCGACCTATCCATCTCCCAAGCCATGACTCTTTTTTCGGGCTTTATCTTCCTTAATCAGCTTATAGATATCCCCCTTGAGGGAGCTCAATTCACCTGGTCCAACCATTCTCCTCTCCCTACCCTTTCCAAACTTGATCGATTTCGCATCTTTTTGGAGTGGGCCAAGTTTCCCTGACACTCATTCTTCTGTGCTGCCAAAACCAATCTCTGACCATTGACCTATATTCCTTGACACCCAACCTGTCCTTGGGGCCCCAAACCTTTCAGGCTCGAAGCTTGGTGGCTTGAAGAACCCAATTTCAAACATTTCGTGACCTTCTCCTGGAATTCACAGTGGTCAATGGATGGGGGTTCGGGAATGGAAGCTCCAGTTGCTGAAGACAGCCCTAAAACCTTGGAAATCTCAGCACCCGGGTAACTTTTGACCCCTGAAGGAGGCTTTGCTTCAGTCCATATCGGAGTGGCATACCCATGAGGAATCTAGGACTTTGCTTCCAGCAGAGTATTCAGCTTGTCTAATGCCAAATTAGACTACCATTCCACGTTTCGCAAGGAGGAGATTTAGTGGTCTCACACTTTTTTCAAGAACTTATCCTTCAGTAACTACGACAGCAATTGGTCGAATTTACTGAGTCTTGCGTCTCCTAAAATATCGAGGGCCTCTCTATGGAGACCACTGGAAAGAGGAGCTTTTCAGCTTAATTTTGATGGTTTCTCCCTTCGCAACCTGGGACCCTCAGGTATAGGGGGCTCCTACGTGCTAGTGATGGACATATTCTGATGTCTTTCTCTCGCCCTATTGGTGTCACAGACTCCACTCTTGCTGAGGCCCTTGCCCTCTTCGAGAGCCTTTGCAAGTGTGATTTCTCATGGAGTCACAACCTGATAGTAGAAGGAGATGCGAAGAACATTATCACCTGGGCATCTAATCGTTCAGCATGGCTGTGACGGTTTGATGACATTTTTGAAGAAATTTTGTATATCACCAGAGATTTCAGAATTGCTTGGGAACAAGTGTATAGAGAAGCCAACTCAGATGCTGACAGGTTGGCTAAGGAGGGTCGTCTAGTTCCCCCTTGGGGACCTAAAGCCACTTTTCCTCTCTGTCTCTGTAAGCGGTTATTTTCTTTTTTATACACTGTCTGGACCATGTTTGGGCCTGTAGAGTGTGACCCCTCGGGGTCACCACACCTCTTGTAATTTTGGTTTCTCTTTCTAAATCAATGCAGTGAACTTTACTCAAAAACTTTTAGGTCCACACTGATTTGGCAAAGCAGCAAAAATAGCATCCTGGAGAACCAATGCCAGAAGCGGTCCATTAACGATTCTTCTTAAGGAAAAGTGATGGCCAGGAATATCATGCTAGACGGGTTGGAGATGTGCAGAACTGGACCATTGTCAAAACATGGTATTAGGACTTGAGCTTGCAACGTACCCTGATTTCTAGGATCAATCTTGCAATGCAAATGGCAAAGCACTGTTCAACGTAATGAGCCTGTGAACATAATGCGAAACCATCAGCCTCATGACCAAGTTGATCGTTTGGTTTAGCAAGATAGTTTGAATTTGATTGATATGCCGAACTCAGCAGCACCAGGTTCAATATAATGACCTGTTATGACTTGCTACTTAAATGGGTTCCAATTGAGAAGCAGATTTTAATTCTCCAATGTTGCTGTCTAATAATATATACAATTTTTTGCTCACATAATAAACAACACTAAACCATGACTGTGAGGGTTTTAAGTAGTAATACTTTCCTGCATTTATTTGTATATGATGGGAAATTTCTATTGAGGAATAATGCTACTTTACTGACATCGAAGAGAATTGATTCTTAACAGCAATGTTTGAGAAATCACCTTGGGCCAGGTACTCAGACTTGCCAGTGTAACTTGCCTCAGGCGATGGCTGAGTAAAATTAAATAAAAAGTAGAACAACCTTAAAAAATCAAAATAAGCTTAAAAAAGTATAGAAAAAATGGATTTAAAAAATTGATTTGTAGTTGGGAACATTTTAAAAAAAAAACAAAAAAAATAATATATAAATTAGGGATTATGGCAAAAAAACTCACCAATCTTTTGCCTAAACATCCAAATTACATACAAAAAAAGTATTAAAAAAATGCTACTCTACTGACATCGAAGACAATTGTTTCTTAACAGCAATGTTTGAGAAAACACCTTGGGCCAGGTACTCGGACTTGCCCGAGTAACTCGCCTCAAGCTAGGACTGAGTAAAAGTAAACAAAACGTAAAACAACCTTAACAAATCAAAATAAGCTTAAAAAAGTATAAAAAAAATGGATTTAAAATTTGGATTTGTAGTTGGGAACATTTAAAAAAAAAATCCAAAAAAAAGAATTTATAAAATTAGGGATTATGGCAAAAAAAACTCACCAATCTTTGCCTAAACATCCAAATTACATCCAAAAAATTATTCAACATTGCCATAATTTTTTAAAATTTCTTGGGATTTTAAAGTTTTTTTATGTACCCCAATTTGTACATAAAACTCAGGACGAGTCACTCAGCCGAGTCCTGTAACATTGCTCAGCAGAAAATGTAAAGTTAAACCCATATGATCTCTCTTGTGAAAGCAATGAATATGAGGTCTAAGATGTGGCTTCAGGCTTCTCCTTGGGATCAGGGATTGATGGAAAGTTTAATGGATCTTCCACTGACTTGACTTCTTAAACATTCTTAGATTTGAAGCCTCTCTGTAAGTACTCATGTTGCAATGTCTTAACTGGGTAATGAAGCATAATAACATGGGACATGTCCTATGGCTTCTAAAGTTTTGTGGAGATTGATTTTGATTTTGATTTTGGTGTATGGGTTAAGATTTACTTCCATACAGCTCTTCTGTGGCTGCCATCTTAGTGTGTAAATCATTTCTATCAGCTAATTCACCTGCTGTTTCTGTAGTTTGTTTCTGTAGGTTATGTTGGCTGCTAAGTCTCTGTCAAATGTTAAATTGCTTTCTCATGCTATTGTATGTAATTCTGAAGTTCATTTATTCAAAGCTAATATTTTCCGGTTATCACCCTGCCTATTGGATTTCTTTTGGTTTGAAGGAATCAGCTTCAGAGCCAGATCAAGGTCTTCTCGGGGTACAGGAGATTGCACAAATCTCTGTGGATTCTGAAGCTTCACCAGAAGGGAAAGCAGATGAGAGAGCTAAGGACAGAGAAGAAAGGGATAAAGAGAAAGGAAAAGAAGTCAAGACCAAAGAGGAAAAAGATAAAGAGAAAGGTAAAGATGTTGATAAAGAAAAATGGAAGGAAAAAGATGGAGACAAGAAAGGAGAAAATGAGAAAGTTAAAGGTATCGATGGTACAAATTTGGATAGTATGTTACAGAGGCTTCCTGGATGCGTCAGCCGTGACCTTATTGATCAATTGACAGTAATCACCCTTTGCTTTGTTCTTTTGCAGTATTTTGTTCTATAATGGTTTTGCATAGTAACTTACACTTGCCCTTTTTGGCAGGTAGAGTTTTGTTATTTAAATTCGAAGACAAATCGAAAAAAGCTAGTTAAGGCACTGTTCAATGTCCCTAGAACTTCCTTAGAGTTACTTGCATACTATTCTCGTATGGTGGCAACACTTTCAACGTGCATGAAGGATGTGTCTTCTATGCTTTTGCAGCTGTTGGAGGAAGAATTTAACTTCTTAATTAATAAAAAGGTTGGTTTGTATTTGTCAAGGCACATGGTTTTGATAGTGCACTTGATGTATATATTCTTGTGATAGGTTGTTAGTGGATGAATTTTAATATGCTTGCTGGATCTTTTTACTTGTTTGTTTGCTGATAATTGTGTTATCCTGTCTTTGATTTGTGTACCATCTTCATAGATAGTATGAGGCCCAAAAAGTTGGACACATATTACTTATATGCAATTGCGTCATCACTTTCTTCCTTAATCCTCTAGTGACTTGCATTTATGGCTTCAGGATCAAATGAATATTGAAACAAAGATTCGGAATATAAGGTTTATAGGAGAGTTGGCAAAGTTCAAAATCGCGCCCGCAGGTTTGGTCTTTAGCTGTTTGAAGGTGAGAGTGAATTATTTTGTGGTCTCTATGAAAATTTATCGTTTTAAGTTCCAACAACTTTCACTCTGACTTTTTGTCAGGTTTGTGCTAGTTTAGGCAAGATTGTCATCTCTCTTTGTGTTCATTTTGTTCGTAAGTTTGCCTTTTGCTAAAGTTATTCTCTGTCCTCTCAATTTGTGAGTGCCTCCACTTGTAAGTATATCCTTGTAATAGCTTATATCTTTGTTCTCAACCTATCTAAACTTATTTGTGTGTGCATTTGTATACATTCTAAGCAAGTAAAGCTTGTCTTGAGCATAGTTACTAGGATATCCCAACTTGGTGGTGATCCTGGCGGTCTCGTGCTCCTAGAGCTGGACCTTGGGCAGCCGTGCTCCCATATGCGGGGAACATGATCCCCATCCCTTAAGGGTCGGTCGAAGTAAATCATACACGTGTTAGATTGATCTTTTATAAAGAAAGAAGTCTTAAATGTATATGCATTAAAAAAAAAAAAGAATTATGTTTCTAAATCATGTTCTATACAATTCTCAAAGAGAAAAGAGATGCTTTTATCAGATGGGTCTCGGACCTTTAGAATTTATGATGCGATCCCAAAAAGTTGGGGTCCAGATCCCAAAATGTTGGGTAAATTCAAGGTGTACAGACAGCGACCATAGGGAGCTTCTAGCCTATCATGATCCCATGCTCACGATGCCAACAACTATGATCCGAAGTAAGTGATGCATATTATATTATATTTTTGCATGTCTTTTCGAGCTATATGACTCCATAGTTATCTTTCTGTCTTGTGTCTTGGCCAGCTAATGAGGAGGCTGATGGTTTGGATGTGGGAGGGATCCGAGGGTCTTTCTTTACTATTCCTTAGGCCTTCTATCCTATGTGACATTTCATCATCAAGAGTGTGCTTCTTTTTATTGGGATAGACAATAATACATTGTAGGCAGAGGAATCTTAATTTTTTGCTTGTCTAGATTAGCTTCTAATTACCCCCAATATAGATTAGCTTCTCCAAGAATGTGTTGCACATGATCTCGAGAGAGCTAGAAAGCTCTAAAATCTCCTCTTAACAGTCCTTTTAACCTCCACTAGGTCTACTTTGGCCCCTCCCAAATAAGCCATGGAGACCTTGAGATTGCAAAGGAGGTCCTTGGCTTCTAGCTCTTTGGTCCTCTTAGTCAATGTTCCCTAGGATCTCAGCTTGTAAAATGCAATTTGCTGCTGGAAAAAAGTGAATTTATACAGATGGATCAAGGGGTACTATTCCATCTCATTAGCATCACTGCCCATCTCCAAACTGAATATAGAAGAATTGAAGTAGTGTGAGGGTCTTTCCTTTGCAGTAAACCATTTAATTGTCACTGTTGTGAAAGATTTTCTTTTTGAGAAAGTTGGGAAAGAATTTCCTTTTGACATGCAGCCGCTGTTAAAGGTCTATACCCTATGCATCGATTATTTACACATTGATTTTGTTGATTAAGGATCCTGGAGGCTCAATAGGCCAAAGGGTTTGGTCCTCCCATTTCCTCTTTTGAGTAGGAGAATCTTTTAAGCCATTGATAAATTCTTTATCATCTTCCTCGGAGATTCCTTTTCATCTCCATTGAGGGTGGGCATTCCACCATTTGCTACTCTTTATCTAGAAGAATTGTTGTTAGGTTAACAACTTCAAAAAAAAGAATTGTTGTTAGTTCAAATCAGGGTTTTACAACCTGGAATAGGGAACCAAATCAGTCACAACCAAACCAGGGCGGATCAGCAATTCAGCTGTGTTTGATTCATAGTTAGCAAGTTGGGGAATAATAAAAATATCAGGAGACGAGAACATTGGTAATGAATCAGTTTTGTTTCAGAAAGTCGAAGGAGAAAATTGGGTAAAAAATACGGATCGTCAAAAAAAAAAGTAAGTTATAGAATCATGAATATTTCGGATATGGTTCAAAAAAATGTAGTGAAAAAATTGGACATGTAAAGATGACACAATATAGGATTATAATTTGCAGCCATTGTATAGATATATTAAAGCCATTAAACAATGATTTTGTAGCATTAGCAGTGTCATTAGAGTAATACTTGACAATTTTAAGTTCATATTTGCGGAAGAAGGTTTTTTGGTAGTAATTGAGGAGACACAAAAATCAAATTTATCTGTGGAATCTCCGCCATTAGAGGAGGTCACAGCTCCACTAGACACTGTTACAGGGACTACACCCCTCCTAGACGCAGATCCACAAGTTATAGACTCTCTCGACGAAGTCGAAGCCCTCTTGGGATAGAAGCTATCTCCACAGGGACCACCGACCTACCGTTTACAACTTCTCTCGATATAGCCAAAGTCCATCCTATGATAGAAGCAACCTTCATCAAAGGGACAATGGCCTTTACGCCCCAAATGATCACAGAAACATCAGGCCTTCAAGGCCCAACCACCAGACATTCAAGGCTCACCCAATTTCCAACTTCAGAGGATCCTCCCACTAGGCTATAAGCTTCAATCACCACCAGGGCCTGTCTGCTACCACATTTAACCACTATAAGGACAACTCTCATATTAGGAGCACTCAAACCCCATACGGAGCACTCAAACCCCATACGGAGCTCATCAGAACCATCAGATTCAGCCTTCACCTTCCTCTGATGGCCATCAACACTTCCTACCTACTAACCCAAATAGATTTCTCACCATCCCTTCGAAATCCCGTAACAAACCCTCCACCAGGAAGGTAAGATTCCCCCAACACCCTCGATTATTTTCAGAAAAAATCCATAATCCACCTCCCCACTCTCAAACACCAACTCACCCCACTGCAATAGATAATTATCAGGTATTGCCATCACACCCTGCCCATTTCAAAACCACCCCTAATACCACCATCCTTACTTCTTCATCTCAACCTACCTATCACACTATTCAATCAACGCCTTCTATGGAGAAAACTGCTTTTCATAACGCCAAAACCTTTACCCGGGCAGTAACTTCAAACCCTAAAACCAGCATGGAGCGATTTCAGTTTGCTTAAAACCCTATCGTGAATGTTCAGGAATATCATGTTTCGGTCCTTAACAACCAACCCTAAGTTTGGCTCTCTCCCAATTGCGAGATCTCTGAGCGTACTTCTTTACAAAACTCCCTCATTGGCACTTTTATGCCTCAGCACAATGACATTGAAGGGAATAATAGATGGCTTCACAACACTTTTAAAAATCCCCATGTTGTTTGTAGGCTACTCTTCGATGGTAAGTATCTCGTCTCATTCCCTGACAATTTCCACCCGATTATCCCTCATGACGCTGCTCTTAATTTTAGAGGTGGTAAGCTTTCTTTACAGAAATGGATACCATCGTTGGGTGCCCAACAATTCAAAAAATTCTGGATCACTCTAGAAGGTATCCCCCTCCACCTCTAGACCAACAAATGTTTGAGATTTTAGGAAATAGTTGTGGTCAATTCCTTTCAGTCCATTGAAAATCCATGGGATTTCTTCCTTTGGGGAAAATTGTAATTCTAATTTCCTATTCTTCAGAAGATCTTATCCCTAGTGTCTTGAACTTGCATTTCAATGTTCTATCTTACAAGATCTCTATTTCTGTCCAGGGTAAACACCGCCATGACCGCCCTTAGTCGGACCATGAAGGGTGGATTGTGGTCCAGCGCAAATCCCGTGTTCACTCTGATACTCCAGGGTCCCCTTCTGATGCACCCAAACATCCTAGGGACCACAGTTCCATAGAATACACTAAATATGCTCCTAGACCATGGTCTACCAATGCTTCCCAACCCATGGACCTTAATCCCCCTACATCCAATGTTGACTCTTCCATCAATCCTATGTCTCGAGATCCCCGCCTTCATGCAACCAAAGGCAAGGGCCACCTCACAGATGTATCGTCCACCTCTACTAGTCGCCCACCACGTCAGAGGTATTCTCACAAGTACTTTGACATCTGCTACCCTCCTCCATCTTCGATGATGACCCAAAACGTCGTTGCGCCACGTGTCACACAGCCACCCCTTTTTGCCACACCTCCATGCATTGTGTCGGTCGCCCCATTCAAATTCCCATTGTCCAAGGTCACCTCGACTATCCCCCATCCTCGTCCCATAATTAACCGTACCTGTCATGCCCCCAGTGACATTTATAACACCTGTCAGCCGCCACCTCAGGCTACCTCGAGCCCCACCACAACCCAGGTGGCAGCCCATTTGTCTCCTTCCCCCCTCTCCCACCTTAATCACTTCAGTACCTGCTCAACCCAGCTGCCCTCAGCTGTTAATTCTGCCCCTTCCCTAGGATCTACTCTAAATCTTTCCACCTTTCCCAACATCCCACTATCTACAGCCCCAAACAATCAGTTGCTTCTCCCTCCTCCCCACTCTCTTCAGCTTCCGTCTTTTCAAATTCTGCCCACCCATTACCAACTCAGTCGGATCATTTTGACAATCAAGATGTACCCAACCGTAATCTGCACTGGTTCCTTTTCACTACACGCCCCTGCCTCAAACCCCCAATACTCCATCCTCTGCTCCACAACCTCTATCAACCCTACCCCCCTCTCCTTTCTCTCTCCTGGACTCCCATTGTAGCACATCTCCCTCAACCATGCCACGAAGACAGAAACATAAGCGGGCTTATCCAAGGTGGTACCAAGACCAGACCACGACTCCCACCTCAATCTTCTCCCCCTCCCAATCCTCCTTACTCCAACAGCCAGCCCACCCCCTTCCTAATCCTAATCCCACCATATCCCCATCTTACGTCCAGTGTCCAGGTTTCCCACCACCTCAACAAGACTCCAATTACGTTCCCCTCATCTTTGTCTCTTCTGAGCTCACCCCAACTAACCCCTCCTCTTACATTAGATTTGCTTCCACCCTACCAAACCCACCTGAAACTGGTTTGGTCTACTCTGACATAGATGAGTTAGTGCCTATGCCCTTAGAAATGATGCTAGCCCTCAATGCAGCTCAACAATCTAGTGGTCGACCCTGCCCTGCATCC